AAAAAAAAATAAGCAAAAAGGGAAAGAAAAAGAAAATGGAAAATTTTGTTTGTTTGCATTTTTACAAGCACTATTGAAACATTATAATAAAAATAAGATAACATTGTAAGAAAAAAAAAAGTTCTGATGAAAATAAAAATAAAAAAAATAATAATAAAACGAGAAGTGTACGAATTGTATGCACACGAATATTTGCTGTTCGTGGAATCAGTGTACTACTTGCTGTGTTTTAAACGTTCAATTATAATAAACAAATAACGACCGAAAGTTGATTATTGTGTTTTATTTACTGTTCCCCTTTTGTTTTCGATTATTTTTTATTATTAATTTTTTTATAAAATTACTATTATAAATAGGATTTATTTAACAATTTATGTATGATGTTCTCATCTCTCAATTAACCAATTAATTTAATTCTTTTTTATTTATTAACTTTTTAATTATTTAATTAACTACTTAATTTACTTATATAAATTAATAACTAAGGATTTAAATTTAAATAAATATTAATAAATAAAAAAGTACTTCCTATTATTGCAGATAATATAATTTTCTTATAATTTTAGTTATTATTTCAATTATTATTACTAGCAAATTTTACGCGCTAAACATGTCACTTAATTTATTATTATTATTATTAAGCAAATTACATCATTCTTTATTTTCAAATATAAACTTCAATTTTTCAATAATTTTTTCAAATTCCAAATTATAAAAATTCACAAAATTACATTATTTATTATTATTGTTTATTATTTCCAAGAATTTTAATGAAATTCTAGGCAAGAATTCAATTATTTTTTTAAATAATAACATTCTTTGGAAGGATTTAATTTTTTTGCAGGAATTCAACTATTTTCAAATTTCAATACAATTAATAAAATTTCACGAAAGGATTCAATTATTTTTTTAAATTTTTAATAAAATTTTTCGAAAGAATTCAATTATTTTAAAAAAATTTAAATAAATTCTTCAAAACAATTCAATTATTTTCTAAAATTTTAATACATTCTTCAAAACAATTTAATTATTTTCTAAAATTTTAATAAATTCCTCAAAACAATTCAATTATTTTCTAAAATTTTAATAAATTTTTCAAAACAATTCAATTATTTTAATAAATAATATAAAATTCTTCTTCGGATTTTAATTATTTTTAATACAATTTTGTCAGGATTCAATTACTCTTTGCAGGAATCCATTTTTATAATGTCAATACAATTTTAATAAAATTTCACGAAATAATTCAATTACTTTTTTAATTTTTAATAAAATTTTTCAAAAAAAATCAATTATTTTCTCAAATTTTAATAAATTCATCGAAACTATTCAATTATTTTAATAAATAATAAAATCCTTCCGAGGATTTCAATTATTTTTAATACAATTTTAATACATTTTTTTGCTTAATTCTATATTATTTTCAAAATTTCAAAAAATTACATTATTTTCAAAATTTTTTTTAAATTTTAATAAAATTTTTCGAAAGAGTTCAATTATTTTCTTAAATTTTAATAAATTGTTCAAAATAAATCAATTATTTTAATAAATAATAGTTTTAATAATATATATTAAAATTATTAAAATTAATAACTATTATTAAAATTCTTCCTCGGATTTTAATTATTTTCAATACAATCTTAATAACATTCTTTGTTTAATTCAATTATTTTCAAAATTCCCAATTAAAACTATTAAAAAAACTACATTATTTACAAAAGAACTTAAAGAAATTCTTCAAAAGAATTGAATTATTCACCAAAAATGTATTAAAATTGTTTAAAAAAATTAAATTTTTTATGAATAATTTTAATAAAATTTAATAGTATAGTTATTATTAATTACAATTACTAACAAAATTGATTATATTAAAAAAATTAAAGAATCTTGAAAGAATTCAATGATTTTCAATATTTTAAAAAAATTCCTTGAATGAAAAAAAGAAATTTTCATTCCAAAAATTGTAATGAAAGTCTGAAAATAATTTAATTATTTTCTAAAAATTTGAATAAAATTTAATAATCAAATGCTCAATTTCAATTATTAACAAACAAAATTATTTTAAAATACTTGAAAGAAATTCTTCATAAAATCCATAATTACTTTTGAAATTTTCAATGAAAATTATTAAACAAACTCTATTATTTCAAAAAAAAATTCCAAGAAATTCTTGAGAAGAATTTAATTAATATCTTCAAAAATTTTAAGAAAATTCTTCGCAAAAGAATCAACTATTTTCATAAATGATAAAATTCTTCGAAGGAATTCATTTATTTAAAAATTTTTTGATAAAATTCCTTGCAAAAATTCAATGCTTTTAAATAGCTACATTTATGTTTTAAATTTGAAAACATTTAAAAAGAAATTTTATTTATTTTTTTAATGATATTGTTTTTATATAGATAAAGAATAAAAAAATTTTCCTAAAGTTTGAAACAATTTCGTTAATTTTAATAATTGTTTTAAAGATTATGGTCAATTTTGTTATTTTTTTTTCTTTTTTAAATTCAAAAACAAAAGTTTACGACGTCAAATTTGATGATTGTACAAATTGTTATTTCAAAAATCGTCAAGTTTGACGTTGTAAACTTTAGTTCAAGTATTTTAACTGTATTTTTTTTTTTTTTTTTGATTTAATAATAATAACAATAAAAATAAATATTAATATTAATTTTTAAAAAAGGGGATTCATAATTTAGAAAGAGAATTTTTCAAATTAAGTGATCTGATATTTTTAAATTCCATTAATAATTATATATTTTATAAATATGTATTTAATAATTTTTAACTTACGAAATAAACTGAATAGGAAACACATGTTGTTGAACTTACCTGAAACAAAAAGAAAAGAAAATTTAACATCATTTTAAAGTTATATGTTTGTATTATTTTTACCCTAATTAAAAGTTTCTGATTAATTTCACCAAAAATAATTCAAATTTAGAGAGTAAATAAAAAAATTAATCAATTAATTAATTAAAAAATAAGTTCAATTAATGAGCACAAAAATCGCAAACTATCTGAAAATAAAATTCTATAAAATGAAAACGAAATCAATAGAACAATTTTATATTGTATAAGAAAAGTATAAAAATAGAAATCTCGTGACCTAAGTGGAAACAAAATTCATGAATTATTGCAGAACTGAAGAAAATGACTGGAAAGCGTCTTTAATAGATGAGAATTTAAAAATGATTTTAAAAGCATAGTCTGCGGAGTTTATAAGTGCCCCTTATAAAACCTGCATACATGTAAATATAATACATGTGAAGAAGTCGAAGATTGACGAGTGTATTTAGGTATGAAAGGACGACATAGACGTCGTAATTGTTGTAAATGCGTGGATTCTCTACATATACGTATATAGAGGCCTATAAACCGTAAAAGACTCAGTACCGCTTAACTGCCACGTCTCAATATAAACTAAAAACTATATTGCTTAGGATAGAGCAAGAAATACGCAATATAAGCTGCACCTTGTTCTCAAGTTTTCATGACAAAATGACACTAATATACCATATTATACTCTCTTTGCGTGATTCTTTACAATTCTCCAATTTTTAGGTTTTTTTTTTACCCTTCATTTTATTTTTACCCAATAAAATCAAAATTGTCCCTTTTAAATCTCCAGAGGCGGAAATACCTTCCTTTAATGTTTTTCTATTTTTCCCTCATCCCTTTTTTGTATAAAAAAATAAAAAAAAATGCGAAAAGTACCGAAGGACAAAAATTAAAATTAGATACACAAAATATTTATATTCCATTTTCTATACCAATTTTCTACCAAAAAAATTTTTTTCTACGAGAAAAAACCGGAAAATTAAAAGAAACGGAGTAAAAAGAAAAAAACTAAAAAGAAAAAAACCGAAAAGAAAAAGAAAAAAATAAAACGTAAAAAAAAGAAAAAACCAAAAGGAAAAAAAGTGGATTTTTTTTAATCAAAAGAACTCCTTTCCTCACTTATTACAAAAATCGCAAAATTATAATTTTCAATTTTATCTCCCACTCTCGACGAATTTTTCTGATGAATTTATGCAAATTCCGAAACAATGGAGCACTGGAGGAAATTTTTTTGCAAAAAGATAAATTTTTAAAAAAGAGAAGAATGTTCTTAAAGACGCGACTTTTTTAAAAAGTATCAGGACAGCATGAACAGAGAGGAGTTCTTTCTCTTTTCTCAATATACCATTGTCTTTTATCCTTCTTTTTTTTCTCCAACCTCCAACGCAGTGAGTGACGATATTTTTCAATGAAAATATTCTATATATACAAAATAGAGGACCAAAAAAGAAAAAAAAAATTGAAGAAGAAAAGAAAACTATTTGATCATTTATTTGTATACGTTTATATTAATAAAACCCTCCTTCTTTCATTGATGAGTTATTTCTTTATAAATTATATCAAAATAACAGAAGTACGAAAGAGGTATTTGTCACGATTTCACTTCTCTTCACTCACATTTTTTTTTCTATACTTCCTTTTTTGAAAATAAAAGAGGCAAATTTTGTTCCTTTCTATTTGATTTTTTAAATCGAATATATTTTCACTTTTTGTCTCAATTATTAATTTTTATACTTTTTAATTAAAATTAAAATCATTCGAGAAAATAAATAAAAGCAAACTTTTTTTTAAAAAAAATTGGAAAATTGTGTAAAAGAACTGATTTTCTAGACTCAATTTAACATTTTTTACTTTTTGCCCATTTTTAGGTACAAGTTAATTTCTTAATATTATATTATCATTATTTTTATTATTATAAAATTTTTATCAGTTTTATTACTATTATTATTATTATCATCACTTTTATTATATTGTCGTAAATTTTTTGTCTGTATTTTTTCTTCCCAATTCAAAAATCCAGTCAGATTTCAAAAATATTAATTTCTATAAACGAAGTATAATATAAGAAATTAGGGAGTAAGAAATCAATGTGAAAATTTCTACAATACCGATGAGAAATTTTGCTAGAAAGTTCCTTCGTTTTCCAGTAGATTTAAATTTGTCGCTGTTTCTTTCTTAACCTAAGTTTTTATTTTTGTTTTTAATCCGCTAAAAAAACCTGTTGTTTACCTCGCATGTGAAAATTGATAATTTTAAGTTTATAACGAAACGTAAAATCAAATGTGCTCGTTAATTGCATGACAGATCGAAGAGTGTAATTATTGTGAGTATCATTATTATTTTCACTTATCTCAAATTCTACAAAGTATAATTGTTTTTTATTGTAAGTCCATAAAAATTCCGATATAAATAAACAATAATGTTATCATTTGTTTATTTATAGCAGAATCAACCAATTTTGTTTACAATTGATTGATATTTTTCACAAACTTAGGAGAAAAAAATTAATTTTTGAAAAAATTACAATATTTTCGTAACATAACCTTAAAAAAATTTTTAAATTAAATTTTAAAACTATTAACTATTAACTAATTCTATTTTCAAGTTTCGAAATTTAGAAATAACTTCGAATTTAACTTTTGACTGATATTTTCCACCAAAATAATAAATATTAACATAATAGTAACATAATTATTTTAGCATAATTATGTTAACATAATTTTCATATAATAATATAAAGTATTCAATCAATAATTATTATAGTACATTAAAAGGAAAATTTATTTGATTCAAATAAACGATTACTTGTCTATTATTAAATAGTTTTAACAAATTTTATTTTTATTAGCACATAAGATTCATTTAAGTCAACTATTTTATATTTGATTGAATAAAATTATTGGTTCAATTAATTTTTATTTTATTTATAATTTATTTGATTTAAAAAAAAATTCCTTCACTCAAATAAAAATTTATTTGGCAATAGACAAGTAATTGTTTATTTGAATTAAATTCTTTTTCAGTGTGTTAATATGATAATCTTAATAAAATTGAAATATTAATTACAATATTTATTATAACATTAATTGTAATAATAATTACAATATTAATAACAGACTGAAAAATAATTTATTTGATTCAAATAACCGATTACTTGTCTATTATCAAATAAATATTTACTTGAATCAAATAAAGTTTATTTAAGTCAAATAAATATTTACTTGAATCAAATGAAGTTCATTCAAGTCAAACAAATTTTATGCAAACTAATAATATCGGCAAGAATTCAATTGTTTTCCTAAATAATAAAATTCTTAACAGGATTTCAATTATTTAAAAAAAATGTAATAAAATTCTTTGCAAGAATTCAATTGTTTTCCTAAATACTAAAATTCTTCACAAGATTTCAATTATTTTTCAAAATTATAAAAAAAAGTTCGTTGCAAGACTTCAATTATTATTTTCCTAAATAATAAAATTCTTTTCAGGATTTCAATTATTTTTATTACAATTTTAAGTAAATTAGCTTCGAAAAATGTAATTAATTTAAAAAGTTTTATTAAAATTCTTCGAAAGAAATAAATGAACAATTATCAATTATTTTTAATTTTTTTATCTGAAATTCATTTTTATAACAATTTTTATTAAAAAATTCAACGAGAATTCAATTATTGAAATACAAAAATGAAAAAATTATTAAATAAATGGATTTTTTTCAAAATTGAATTCTCATCAAGAATTTTATCAACAAATTTTTAAATAATCGAATTTTTTCGAAGAATTTTAATAAAATTTTCACTAAGAATTACATTTTTCAAGGAATTCAGTTAAAATTGTATTACAAATAATTGAAATTCTATGATGAATTTTATTATTCATGAAAATAATTCAATCTTTGTAAAAACTTTTATTATTTATGAAAATAATTGAATTATTGCGGAAAAATTTATAAAAAATTTGTAAATAGTTGAATTTCTGTGAAATGTTTATTATTTATAAAAATAATTGAATTTTGAAGAAGAATTTTATTATTTTTAAAGATAATTAAAATTTTGACTAGAATTTTTTTAAATTTTTGAACAAAATTGAATTTTCGCAAACATTTGTAATTTCTCTAAAATACAATTGTTTTTTAGTGTTTTTAACTAAAATTCTTCTATAAATCCATGATTTTTAATAATTAATTAAATGTACATTAAAAAATAAAATAAAACTAATTATGAAACCTTTAAATTTAATTTTTTCCAGTACTTTAATAAAAATCCCTGACTTTTCCCTGAATTCCCTGATTTCCCTCAATGTTTTAAGTAATAATATTAATAATCCAATAAGCAATAAAGAATTTTCTGCAAGTCACAAACAAAAGAAACCATCAAAAAATTAACAAAAATTAACAAAAACTTTCTTTGTTTCAGGCAAAAAAAAAAAAAAAAATGGCCACAAGTCCAGAAATTCAAGGCAAAATTATTCAATTCGAGGCATTTATAAATGATCGTCTCCGAGTGGATCTCACCGAATTAGAGGAGAAATTAAACACGAAAAATTCCGATCTTGCCGAATTTATTCAATTGAAATGCGTCATTAATACATGGAAGGATACGGAGGCTGATAAAAATGGCTTTAAAACAAAAGTCGAAATGGGATGCGGTTATTTTGTTCAAGCATCAGTTGAAGATGTTCAAAATATTCTACTACACATTGGTTTAAATCATTATGTGGAATTTTCACTCGACGATGCACTTGTTGTTATTAATGTTCGAATCAAATTGTTGGAGAAACAAATTGAAAATTTACGAAATCAAGTTTCCCTAACTAATGCTCACATTAAACTTCTCCTACTTGGAATTGGAGAATTACAGAATAAACCCTCAGATTCCTAGATTTTTGTTTCCTATTTTTCTTCATTCTCTCTGTTTTCTCTGTATTTTTTTTTTAATCAACAAAAAGAATGTAAATACAAGCATTGTACATAAATAAAGTCTTCTACTTTTCTTTAAATTTCAAAATTTTGTTAATATCCCTAAATTAATGATAGAGAATAAAAAACACTTAAATTTTGAATTCTTCTGGTTCCGAATTTTAGTACTGCAATTTTTAATGCCGTTCAACAAATTTTTGTTGTTTTGTGCGGTAATTTTAATAATTTATAATCAAGTGTTGATTGAAATGAATAAATTGTGAACTAGTACCAAAAATGTGGATCAAATTCGAAACTATGATGAACATTTTTGTTATCAATTCGTTACAATTTGATGCACATTTTTGGTGCTTTTGGTAGCAATCTGATCCACTTTGGTACCAATTTGTTACTCTCAAAGAACTGAATTTTTTTCAGCAGTCCTAAAAGGGCGTGTTTCGCAAAAATAAGAAGAATCAGAATAAGCAGAACAAAAAAAGAATAAAAATAGATAGAAAACAGTAATTAAATTACAAATTCATACTTAAATTAAATTTATCAAAACAATACTGAATTACAACAGAAAAAATGCATTTTCTCCCCTTTAGAAACTAATTCCAACTCATCCAATTTTTGAAGAGAATCTTCTTTAGATTTCCAGCAACAAAATAGAATATAATCGCTTAGTTACGAGAAGGGAAATTTTTTTTCTGAAGAGAGGGGTTTGAAACTTTCTTCAGAAGTCTCTTTTCCTCTTAGGTATGCTGATTTTTGAAAATCAGCACTTTTTTTTCATAATAAAAAACCCCGTCTTGTTTGAACCGTTGCTTCCTTTTGCTTCGCAAAGAACACTTAAGGCTAAAGTCGCGAAGCACACTCTGTTTAAAAGTTAAGTATTCGCATACTTTATTTCAAGTGCTTAACACTGCACTCGTGCATAAATTAAAAATCCCCTATGTGCGTTTCTCCTTTCAATTAATACGTTAACATTTTTTCTAAACTCTTTTCCTTCAAGAAGGTGTCCTCAAAATTTCCTTAACGCTTCACTTTCTTAAACGCATCTCATCGCAAAGACAATATTCAAAGTCAAGTTGTTTTCTTTTGCATAAATAAGAAAATAATTGTGGAAAAATCAAATTATTTTCCAAAACACTCTTTCGTGAAGGGAACATCTTGACAAAAAAGTTTCTTTATGTTTCTTTTTATGTTCTCTTGAAGGAAAAGAAAATTTTTTCCCCTGTGCTTTAATTTTTCCTTTTTTCTGCTTCTTCAAAAACTTTTAATTTACTGTCATGTTAATTAGTCACGAATTTCTAATCTGCTAACTTTTCCCTTTTCACTTTTTTCTCTTTCTTAAATTTTCCCCGTTTTTTGAAAAATGGTAAAAACTGATGATCTTCAAAAATTTAGATAATATTCACCACGAAAGAAATATAAAACTTTTTCGTTCCAAAATTGAAAAAAAATTTCTAACTTCTCAAAAAAACAAACGTTTTGATTTAATTCCAGTTCGAAAAATTTAAAAATGTTGCAAATGTAAATTTCTGTTTGGAAAATAATTTTTATACCGTCGGTAGATTTTTATCGTAACGTTTTCTCCGAGGATAAGGCAACAACTGACAGTAAATTTAAGTGTACGATATGTCGATAAAAGAGGTTTCGTTCAAAATTTTTTTAATAATTAACTTGTTTTATTAAAAAACTAGTTTCGGTTCAAAACAAAATTAGTTTTTTTTTCTTTAAAAAAAAGAAATGAAATGATAATAATAATAATAGTAATAAATTTATTATAAATCAATTTTTTTTAGTTTTCAATTTCCCGAATCACTCACTAGAGGCAGCAGTCGTTTGTGTCTATTATTTATTTATAAAATTAATAATTAAAATCGATAATGGCTTTAGATAAGCAGCTTATAGGTATTAAAAATAGTTATTGAAAGACATGTTAAATAATAAAGGTCTGGATTTACCAGCAAATGAATCACAATATTTTTCGAAAAGTCAATTTGGCATTAAATTTCCTGCAAAAAGGAAATTTTCTCCAAATTCTGTCAAATTGATATTTTAAATAATAATAATAATAATTTTTATATATTTATTATATTAATAATAATATTTACGCCAAATAAATAAATTATCAGTTCGAATAGTGTTTGATTCAAATAAAAATTTGTTACAAGTAGAAATATTTATTTCTATTTTGTTTAAGTATTATTTTTGTTTAACATTAATTTTTATTAATATTTATAATAATTTTTATTAAAATTTACATTAATTTTTATTAAAATTTATATTAATTTTTATTAATCAAGCAATCACTTATTTCTATTTGTCTCAAATAATGTTCGTTTGTAGAATTGAATTGTAAAATGAAAATAAGATTTTAATAAAAATTTAAAGACCAAACAATAGTTTAGAAATTTGTTTAATTGTTAGAAACTAAAATATTTAAAGTGTCATTTAAAAGAGAAATTTTTTTTCCACTCTCCTAAAAATAAAAGAACGTTTCTAGAATTTTTATATATTTCCCCCTTTTTTAAATAGAGAATTAAAAAGAAAATATTCAATTTCCTAGAGAAAAATATTTTTATAAATCTGCTTTGAACATCAAATATTTAACAGCACAAAGGTTTTGTGTTATCGAAAATCGATAAATTCTGCAATTATTTACAATCCCGTTCAAGAGTAGTATGATATAAATATTTTTTCAATAGTTAAACTTTTTTTTATTTTTAGTGGAATTACTATAAACCATTATCATAAAAATTAACAAAACTAGTAATGAACGATAAAAAAAAATTACAAAAGAGGATTTAGAAAATGCGTAAATATTCTGAACTTATAAGTTTATACTTTTTGTGTATAAATAAGGTAAAGGGGAAAAAGAAAAGAGGAAAAAATATTGAAAATCGTAAAAAAAGGATGCTGAAGAAATAAAAATATATGAAGTTGTAACTTTTTTTTTAAATACACAAGACTTTCGGATTATCTCTATATACATCATCATGGGTCGAAACTGATCATATAGAATGGCTTAATATTTGACCCAGAAACTTTATAACGTTCGCTTAAAAGTCCAATAAAAAAAGTGGATGTAGAACACAAAGTTCATGGCATTTAGGGATCGTGCTGATAAGTAGTCTTTGACTACTGTGGAACCAAAACGAGAAAGATCAATAAGTCATAAAGTATGTACAGTCATTTAAAAAAACGTTTGTTAGGGATTTAGAGAAAAAACAAATCCAACTGCGACAATTGTTTTTTTAAACATACTTGAAAATCATATTTTAAAAGAAAAATAACTAATCTGTTGATTTAACGAGAGTGTTTCGATGGTCAAGTGGTTAGTGTGCATGCTCTAGTGAAATTTAAGGTCAGGGGTTCGATTCCTGGCGCCTTGGAAATTTTTTCTCGTGTACTAATTTTCTTCCTTAACTGTTGAAAAAAATTATTGGAAAAAAAGCCTTTAAACAATAAAATAAAGGCTCTAAACAATAAATAAAGTAACTAAACAATAAATAAAGGCTCTAAACAATAAATAAAGTAACTAAACAATAAATAAAGGCTCTAAGCAATAAATGAAGGCTTTAAACAATAAAATAAAAGCTCTGAGCAAAAAATAAAACCTCTGAACAAGAACTAAAGATTTTAAACAATAAATAAAATCATGAAACAATAAATAACGCCTATAAACAATAAACTGGAGCCTCTAAACAATAAATAGTCTCTGAACAACAATTACAGACTATAAACAATAAAAAAAATCTCTGACAAGTAAATAAAGCCTCTAAACAATAAATAAATCCTTGAAACAACAAATAAAACCTCAAAACAATAAATAAATCTTTGTAACAACAAATAAAACCTCAAAACAATAAATAAAACTACTAACAATAATATTAATAAATAAATAATAAAATTAATACTAACAATAAATAAAATCTCTAAACAAGAATTAAATGATCTAACAGGGTTGCCACAAAAAATTTATTTTTCTTTTTCCCTGACTTTTCCCTGATTAATAGACAAAATTTTGACTTTTTCCCTGGCCAAAAAGAATATTCTGATTCTCAAATTTAAACTTTTTGAAATTTAATAACTTTTAAGAATATTATTATAAAACATGAAGATATCGAGTCACTCCGAGTCTTCGACTCAGAATGCTCGATATCTTCATGTTTTATAATAAATTAAATTTCTATAAAATTTTTCAAAAAAAAAAATTAAATTATTTACAAAACTTTTAATAAAATTCGTTGTAAGAATTCAATTATTTTTATAAATAATAAAATTTTTCCTAGGATTTAAATTATTTTTAAATTTTAATAAAATTTTAAATAAATTCCTCGAAAAAATGTAATTAAATAATTTAAAAAATTTTTTGCAAGAATTCAATTACATTTCACAAATAATAAAATTTTTTGCTGAAATTCAAATATTTTCAAAATTTACTATTTTAATAAAATTTCTCAAAAGAATTTAATTATTTTCATAAATAATAACATTCTTCACAGGATTTCAATGCTTTAAAAAAAAATGTAATAAATATCGCTGCAACAATTCAATTGTTTTTCTAAATAATAAAATTCTTCACATAGTTTAAAATTCAATCCTGAGTTATTTACAAAGAAATGTAATAAAATTGGTTTCAAGAATTTAATTATTTTTATAAATAATAAAATTTTTCACAGGATTTCAATTATTTAAAAGAAATGTAATAAAATTCTTTGCAAGAATTCAATTGTTTTCCAAAATACTAAAATTCTTCACAACATTTCAATTATTTTTAAAAAATATAATAAAAGTTCGTTGCAAGACTTCAATTATTTTTCTAAATAATAAAATTCTTCTGAGGTTTTCAATTATTTTTAATACAATTTTAAGTAAATTCTTCGAAAAATGTAATTCCTAATTTAAAAAATTTTATTAAAATTCTTCGAAAGAAATAAATTAACAATTATCAATTATTTTTAATTTTTTATCTCAAATTTTATCTGAAATTCATGTTTAAAACAATTTTTATTAGAAAATTTAACGAGCATTCAATTATTTAAATATAAAAAATGAAAAAATTATTAAATAAATGAATTTTCTTTAAAAT